GTAGGTTAGGTAGTAGTAGTTAGTATATTATTATATATATATATATATATATATATATATATATATATTTAAATACAACTATACAAAACAAAGGCCTTAACACAGAGTCCTAAAAATTGGTTCCATATACCTAGTGATGCAAATAAGAAAAAAAAGAAACACCACACAACAACACCACTTCGATTGCTATAATTTATGCTTTATAATACGCAATGTGTAGTATCTCTGTGTGTCCAGAGATGACATATCACTGACATTTGTTACAAACAGACAAAACACAAACAGGTAAAGGGGTGAAGGTTTGAACGGCACCTTGAATTTGCCAGCAGTTGTTGCAGACTCTCTGGACTCTGACAATCAAAAGCGAGGCAGAATCCAGGGCGAGCTTGAAAGGCACTCCAGAGGGCCAGGACTGTGCCGGAAGCGTCAGAGGGGCCGACGTGACTTGCACCCTAACCATGGAGGAGGTCCCTCTGCTGAGCCTAAAGGACCAGAATTCCACAACAGCAAAAAGAGAAGGACCGCAACCCTGATTACAGGGAGGTCCCAAAGGCCCAAGTGATTAAGACCTGAATTCCCCCCCCATAAGTGAGAGGGACATGACCTGAGCCCCAATTACAGAATGGTCACTCTGGCTAGCCTGCAAGAGCAGCATAATGACAAGATGCAAAGGGTACAGACCAAAATCCTAAGTTACAGAGAGCTCTCGGGGAACCAAGACGGCTCCCTACTCCCACATAAACGAGAAAGAAGTGACCTATGCCCTACTTAAAGGGAGGTCACACCAAGCAGCCTGTCAAGGGTTCATAAACCCAAGAGACAAAGAGGGGAAGGATCTGAACCATAGTTACAGGGTGGTCTCGCCGCTCTAGGTCCCCAAAGGGCTCACTAACCCCCTGTAAGCAAGTGATGTGACCTGCCACGTAATTATGGCACTTAATGACAAGGGACTAAAAAGAGCCGGGAGGGCCAGGGACGAGACCCGAACTCTTGAGACGGGGGGAGGGGAGGAGGAAAAAAGAGGGGGAAGAAAAAGAAAACACAAAAATCGCTAAACAAGGTGGCTCACGTACCAAAGGGAAAAAAAGAGGTCCCTCAGACCTAAGGTTCTTGGCAGTCCATCATTCCCCCAGAAGGAAGAGGGGTATGACCTGAGCCGTAGATGCAGGGAGATCACACGGTCTAGAGGAACTTAAGCAAGGGGCCCAAAGGCCCCTTCAGCCTTAAGACACAAGACCCAAACCATCAATCATGCCACTATATGGGGAAACGGGGGGGCCATAAAAAAAAAACAAAAACAAGAGGTCTTTTTCTAGTTCTGGGAAGAGCTCATTCAAACAAATAAAAAAAAAAAAAACCAACGCTGCAGCGATTTACAAATAAATCAAAATAAAAAAAGAAAAGAAAGACCTTTCACATCCATGCACATCACGTTTGCTCTCAAAAAACAGACATACCACATGACACAGCACTTCCCAAAGCAGAAAAAAAGAGCTAACCAGGAAAGGCTATGGGCACAGGGTATTAAAAAGGTCACCCTGCTCATGCCACAGGGGAGACGAATGAGACCAGAACCCTACTTACAGGGCGGTCAGGCCAACTATGCAGCGATAATTCTCTATTGCTTAGCTCTCAAAAGGAAACGGACCTGAACCCTGGTTACAGGGTGGTCCACGCTGACTATCTGCCCATAATTCTATATTACCTAGGTTTCAAAGGGGACAGATATGAACTCTGGTTATAGGGCTGTCACACTGACTAGCCAGCCATAAGTGTCTATGACCTAAAGTAAAAGGAGGGGCGCGACCTGAACCTTAGTTCCAGGGCGGTCATACCAGTTTGCCAGCCAGAAACATCTATCACCTGGATTAAAGAACGAAAGAGACCTGAACCCTGGTTCCGGTTGGTCCATCCGACTTGTCAGACAGCCGGATTTAAGAGAATGGACCTGGACCCTAGTTCCAGGTGGTCCATGCCGACTAGCCAGCCACCAGGGTTTAGCACCTAGAGCTCACAAGGGGAGAGACCTCAACCCTTCTTACAGGGCGTCACTCTGTCTCAAGGTACTTAAGGGCTCAATATCCTCGTTGAATGAAAGATCAAGACCTGAACTCTTCTGAAGCGAGCGGTCTTTCTGACTGCCTTGCTGGAGCACCACGATGCCAAGAAAGTCAAAAGGGGAAAGACCGAAACCCAAAGTTACAGGCAGGTCACTGGCGTCCAGCCTAGTAAGCAAGCCCTAAACCCCACCAACGACAGGGCCGTGAGCCGGACCCTGATTACAAGGAGGTCACTGAGTAGCATGCCAACGGTTCTTAAACCCACCACAGCAAAAGGCGAGACCTGAACTCTACTTACAGGGAGGCTACATTGCCCATAGGGATTAAAGAGCTCGACCTCCTCACTGAGTCACAGGGGTGTCACCTGCACCCTACTTACAGGGAGGTCTCGCCTTGAGATACTCCTGGGTGGTTTTTTTTTCTTCCCCCTCTCTCCCCCCTCTTCACCCCTCAAGAAGAGCAACTTCCCCCCTAGTTACAGGACGGTGGTTGTGCCCGGTGCATATTTTGTCCTCCTCTTCCATCTTCTGTTTCCTCCTTCCCATTTTCTTCCTCACGTGCTGGAAACAAAAAAGGAGAGGGAGTATGCAAAACAGGATTAAGAGAATCCTTAGGTCTCCAACTATAAACAGTGTGCATTAAAGTTGCTACCTTGTCTTCTTTCCTCTACAGGCAGCCTTTGACCTATAGCTGGAAGGGAATTCCGAGCTGTCCCATCATGCACTTTGACGGCACACTCGACACCCAGGCCTCCAAGTCTCCCAAAGTGCCAAAGGCTCAACTGATGCCCTAATGCGGAGCCAGACTTCTGGCTTCCTCACTATAACATAAATCAGCAGCACCTTGTGCCTGGAGGGAAGTGAGAAATGCACTTTAATAGCAAGAGTCACAGACACAACGTGCACTGTACTGACTGGTTCAAACAAACAAACAAACAAACAGGTAAAGGGGTGAACGGAACCTTGAATTTGCCAGCAGTTGTTGCAGACTCTCTGGACTCCAACAACCAAAAGCGAGGCAGAACCCAGAAGGTGTCGCTGCAGAACCTAGGGCGAGCTTGAAAGGCACTCCAGAGGGCCAGGACTGTGCCGGGAGCATCAGAGGGGCCGACATGACTTGCACCCTAACCATGGAGGAGGTCCCTCTGCTGAGGCTAAAGGGCAAGAATCCCAAAACAGCAAAAAAGAGAAGGACTGCAACCCCGGTTACAGGGAGGTCCCAAAGGCCCAAGCAATTAAGACCTGAATTCCCCCCATAAGCGAGAGGGACGTGACCTGAGCCCCAATTACAGAATGGTCACTCTGGCTAGCCTGCAAGAGCAGCATAATGACAAGATGCTAAGAAGGGTTTTGGTCTCTATCCTAAGTTACAGGGAGCTCTTGGGGGACCAAGACGGCCCCCTAATCCCATATAAACGAGAAAGAAGTTACCTATGCCCTGCTTACAGGGAGGTCACACCGACCAGCCTGTCAAGGGTTCATAAACCCGAGAGAGAAAAAAAAAAAAGGGGGAAATTATCTGAACCGTAGTTACAGGGTGGTCTCGCTGCTCTAGGTACCACTGCCTCCAGATCCCCACTGACGTGACCTGCACCCTTCTTACAGGACTGTCACTTTGACTCAGAAGCCAAAGGAGAAGAGTCACGTGAAAGGAAAAAGGAGACACCTCTGAACTCTAATTGCTGGCAGGTCTCGCCGCTCTAGCTCCTCAAAGGACTCACTAACCCCCCATAAGCGAGTGATGTGACCTGCCACCTAATTATGGGGCGCCCACTCAAGGACAAGGGACTAAAAAGAGCTGGGAGGGCCAGGGACAAGACCCAAACTCTGAGGGTGGGTGTGAGAAAAATCACTAAACAAGGTGGCTCATGTACCAAAGGCAAAAGAGGTCCCTCAGACCTAAGGTTCTTGGCAGTCCATCATTTCCCCAGAAGGGAGAGGGACGTGACCTGAGCTGTAGATGCAGGGAGATCACACGGGCTAGAGGAACTTAAGCAAGGGGCCCCAAACACCTTTTCAGCCTTAAGACACAAGACCCAAACCATCAATCGTGCCACTATATGGGTAAACAGGGGCCATAAAACAAAAAAAACCCCACACACAAGAGGTCTTTTTCTAGTTCTGGGAAGAGCTCATTCAAACAAACCAAACAAACAAAACAAAAAAAAAGCTGCAGCGATTTACAAATAAATCAAAAGAAAGAAAGAAAAGACAGACCTTTCACACCCATGCACATCACGTTTGCTCTCCAACACAGACATACCACATGACACAGCACTTCCCAAAGCAGAAAAAGAGCTAACCGGGAAAGGCTATGGGCACAGGGTATTAAAAAGGCAACAAAAGGTCACCCTGCTCATGCCACAGGTGAGAGGAATGCGACCAGAACCCTACTTACAGGGCGGTCAGGCCGACTATCCAGCCATAATTCTCTATTGCTTAGCTTTCAAAAGGAAATGGACCTGAACCCTGGTTACAGGGTGCTCCACGCTGACTAGTTGGCCATAACTCTCTATTACCTAGTGTGACACAGTAGGCAGTGGATTGACCTGGGAATGTCGTTTAGTTTTACTGGACTGTCTGCATGAGGGATGGAAGAGCAGGGGATGACTTTAGGTGAGGGACGGTACCTGAGCCTGTAACCTGAGCCAGGAAGGGGGGTGGGGCAAGTCAACACCTTTGCCCAGGAAACTGGACAAAGGGAGAGGGGGGAGAGCCTGCTGGAAGGGTTTTTGGTTTCAGTTTTGGGCTGGCTGGGAAAAGACAGGGAACCCCAAGTCTGGGGTCTAAGATCCTTGCCCCCCAGAAGGATCTGGCTGAGGGATCCTGGTTGTACCTACAAGCCCTGCTTGGGGCTGTGTTCCTGTTGTCTAATAAACCTTCTGTTTTACTGGCTGGCTGAGAGTCACAGTGAATCGCAGGAAGTGGGAGGAGTGCGGAGCCCTGACTCCTCCACACTCCATGACACCTAGGTTTCAAAGAGGAGAGATGTAGACCCTAGTTATAGGACTGTCACACCGACTAGCCAGCCATAAGTGTCTATGACCTAAAGTAAAAGGAGGGGAGTGACCTGAACCCTAGTTCCAGGGCGGTCATACCAGTTTGTCTGCCATAAATGTTTATCACCTGGATTAAAGAAGGGAAGAGACCTGAACCCTAGTTCCAGGGAGGTCCATGCCGACTAGTCAGCCACCAGGGTTTAGCACCTAGAGCTCACAAGGGGAGAGACCTCAACCCTACTTACAGGGCGTCACTCGGTCTCAAGGGCTCAATATCCTCGTTGAATGAAAAATCAAGACCTGAACTCTTCTGAAGCGAGCGGTCTTTCTGACTGCCTTGCTGGAGCACCACAGTGCCAAGAAAGCCAAAAGGGGAAAGACCGAAACCCAAAGTTACAGGCAGGTCACTGGTCTCCAGCCTAGTAAGCAAGCCCTAAACCCCACCAACGACAGGTCTGTGAGCCGGACCCCGATTACAGGGAGGTCACCGAGTAGCATGCCAACGGTTCTTAAACCCACCACGGCAAAAGGTGAGACCTGAACTCTACTTACAGGGAGGCTACATTGCCCTAGGGATTAAAGAACTCGACCGCCTCACTGAGTCACAGGGGTGCCACCTGCACCCTACTTACAGGGAGGTCTCACTGCTCGAGGTACTACCGGGTTCAAGCTTGCTCTCTCTCCTCCCCCACCCCACAAAGAAGAGTGACTTCCACCCTAGTTACAGGACGGTGGTTGTGCCCTGTGCATATTTTCTCCTCCTCTTCCATCTTCTGCATCATCATCATCATCTTTTCTTTCCTCCTTCCCCTTTTTTTCCCCCTCGTGTGCTGGAAAGAAAGAAAGGGAGTGTGCAAGTTAGGTTACGACAGGATTAAGAGAGTTGGGGGGGGGGAGGGGTGTCTTCAAATATAAACAGTGTGCATTAAAGTTGCTACCTTGTCTTCTTGCCTCTACAGGCAGCCTTTGACCTATAGCTGGAAGGGAATTCTGAGCTGTCCCATCATGCGCTTTGACGGCACACTCGACGCACAGGCCTCCAACTCTCCCAACATGCCGAAGGCTCAACTGATGCCGTACTGCGGAGCCAGGTTTCCAGCTTCCTCGCTGAAGGAACAATAATCCACACCGTGTAGAGTCAAGCACAGGAGTTTATTACACACAGCGCTGGCAAAGTGTCACTTTGTAATTAATTCTTCTGCAGTGTCTGAGCCTAATAAGCAATAGATTATATAGGGTGCTCATTGTGCAGAGAGAAGCGACAGGGATGGGTTTTCCCAAACTCCTGGATAGGTTCTAGCAACAAAACAAGATAAGCACAATAAGCCAATGGTCTAAAAGATTACATAATGGTTCCTCCCAAGGCTCAAATTACCGGTGTGTCAGCAATGTTAATTACCCCCAAACTATGTCTACTAAAGTGTATAGGTTAAATTCTAATTTTGGGGTTCAGGGGAATGAGGTAGCAGCTCTCCCGGTTGACCAACAGGTATATTCCTGGAGATTTAAAGCGAAAAATGCAGTAATTAGTACTTAACAACAATTGTTCATAAGTTTACCCTTGCATTTCTGTGGGCAAGGATTGGCATACATCTGTGAGGGGAGGGTGTCCTAACTCATGTCAATTATATTGGGCCTCTCCCTGAACTCTGTCTGGGATCTGAGGAGTATTGTACCACTATCTCCTCCCTGCACGAGGGAGTAACCATGGAGGCCTTTCTCAGCACTTCATGTGTCTATAACTTGCGATAAGGACGCCCAATTACATTCCGAGTTATGCTGACTCTGCTCACTTACTTGAAACACACAAGGTTATCCGTTTACCCCAGCTTCCTCTTAGCTGTGTATTGTTCTCTGTTAGCCAGCCCCCATAGCCCAAGCCAAGCTGTGGACTCTGGCCTACATGAAAAGTTCTCAGGAGAAACTGTAGTTAAGATTTTACATCCATAGCTAATGGATTCTGACCCTGCAGTCCCTCCTCTTGACCCTAGGGTTCCCTAACCTGCCAGGTCAAATATAAAACAATTTTCAGCTTACTTCGGAGTTGCCAGTAAAGTATCAACACCATCAGGAATGTCAGAACGGACACTCTCCACCTAATTTGGCAGAATAGCACCCAGATCCATCCCCAGGGGATCTCTTCACCTGAGATGGCATTGCCCATAATTATTGATTTAACCTCCACTGCCTGATTCCGTGCCTCAGAGTATTTAACGCTGACCTGGTCCACGGTCTCCCCTATCCGAGTGTACCTCAGACGGCCTTCCCCAATGCGTCTTTGGGCCTCGGCCACCAACTCCTCGATCTTCACCTGCAGGGCCTGTAGACCCTCCTCTAGATACTTACTGCCGTAGTGCCATTCTGGATCCCACGTTAGGTTACTCGTCATTGACGGAGTACGGTGGAGCTGCATCCTGTCAACAGTCAGAGTTGCCGTTCGGGGGATCGTCATGCACACGGATGGATGTCTCGAGGGGGAGGGCTTTCCATTTAGCTCGATGGAGTGGTTCTTGGCAGTCACACACCAGTAGGTACTGTTCATCTGGACCAGTTCCGTGTGCACCAGTTTCTCAGTGACAGCCACTTTGAACTTAAACAGATTTGTTAGAACATTATAAGGGCATATACATAGAATTTCCTTATCAGAGTGGGTGCAGCATTCACTAGGGTACAATGCTTTCCCGGCGAACTCAGAATATGCAATACTTTTTATTTTAGTAACATGACCTCTCCTCCATACTGGCAGAGAGGTCACCATTCTAGCTCGTTGTGAGTGAGGGATTCCCAGAGGCACTAGGAGACTGAAGATTATGGTGTGACCTGTCCAAACCGGTCTTTGGATTCATTGATTCTCTGTTTTCCCATTCCCATGAAGGGGTACTGGGGAGATTGCCATCCAGGAGACCTGTTACAATGCCCTGTGTAGTGATGGCCAAGGTTTGCCCTGCATTTCAACAACTTTCCTCCAATTCCTTTATTTTGGTACCATTTATTAACAGGCTGCTGAATTCTTGACCCAAGTATTTTGTTATATCTACTGAGGTGGATAGAGTTTGACAGATCCTTTAAGCTGTCTAGGATCAGTCGACTGGCCCTATTAGTATCCAATCCTCCCTTTTACATGGCACACTACTTGCGTCCTTCATCGTGCACCACAGGGGCAGCAGGAGCCACAGCAGGAATCTCTTCATGGTCGCCCTTCAGTCCTTCTTCCTGTTCACCTGTGGAGAGACTGAGTATTGACAAGCACTGGTTCAAACAATTTTAACTGATTTTGGTGCCTTTGAAAAGTTTTCATTTTTCCCCTAATCCTTAAATGCAGGTTTGTTCAGACTGCTGTTATTCAGCTGGGTTTGATTTTCTTTTACTTGGTCGTATAGGTATTTTTTATTTTTATTTAATTTATTGTTTAATACCTTTATATAGTTCTGTAACCTGTCTGCGAAGGGCCCAGTAAAATCAATTTGCCGATTCTGCCACGGTCCTTTTGGCTGTAGTTGATGGTTCAGGGGTACTTTCTTCCTTCTACACATATTTTCTTATGCACATGTTACACATCTTTTAATTGTAAGGCTTCCCCTCCTTCGCCCCCCATGGCTGGCCACCACCATTGCTTCAGGGCAGCTTTTATTTTCCTCCATCCCAGGTGAGCTGGGGAGTGGGTGGCATGGAGCAGCAGAGCCCTTATGCTCTCAGGGGCTACTAGCTCCTTACCCCTCCCCCCACCCCAGCCCATGCCAAAAGTGATTTTTATACACACAGCCTTATCCTTCTAACTTGGTTTTTTTTGTTCCTTGCTTGAGGTTTTATGATGTGCTTCTATTTTGACTACTGCCAGTTCTGATGGTAGTTTGACAGCTTCTGTTAGTTTAACTGCATTTATATTATTAATGGGTTTGCCGGTCCGCATGACCACACACCCATGTAGTCATGCACTACTCTGAATGTGTACCTGCTGTCTGTGTACACAGTCTTTTGCCCTCCTGCACTCTAAGGGCTTCAGTGAGGGCTGTCAGCTCTGCTTTTTGAGCTGATTTTGAACCATTCAGCTGACCTGACACTATTACTGTTCCATTACTAACTATGACTGCTCATTCTGTATTTGGCACTTCATTTTCATACTTTCTTGACCCATCTACATACAAAAGGATGTCTGGATTCTTTTAATGGCTTTAACTCTTTAACACTTACTCTTTCCTATCTAGGAGACATTCGTGTACCTCTTTATTTATGTTCAGGTATTAAGCTACATTTTCCTTTGTTCCTCACTATGGAGAAGTTGGGATTTTGCAGGCACAGTGTTGACTCTCACTGACTCTTCTGGGTTTCAGCACCAGTTAGTACAGTGGGGTATTGAGTCTTACTGTAGTTATGGTAAAGATGGAACAGCTTTCCCATTTTGGGTAAGCCCAAGCTGGGGGCGGAGGCTAGAGCTTGCTTTACTTTTATGAATGCCTCCTTTTGTTCTGCCCCATATTACTGACTTATTTGCAGGTTTTCCCCCATAAAAAGTTTTTGGATCGGTTCTACTATCTCTGAGTACCCCAGTATGTATGTCCTGCAGTAATTAAGGAGGCCCAGCACTTTCTGGACTTCCTTAAACTGTCCGTGGTCTTTTTAACTCTCAAATTGCCTGCTTGTGAATAAGACTATTTTGATTCTTGCCTCAAAGCTAATTTCTTTTAATATGGTTTTGCACCTGAGGTATTTTTTTTTTTTTTTTAAACAGACTGGCATTCCTTGATCTTTACCCTTCTGCATCCTTGGTTTTTGTAACTTCTATTAAAATTCTTAATTTTTGTTTTGAAAGACAAAACATGTTTTACTTTTTGGGGGGCGGGGAGTGGCAGATTATTACTTACAATATCCCTTCCTTTAAACAAATATTTTTGCTGATTGCAGGCAAAACAGGAGTTTACCCCCCCCCCCCATACTTTCCTATGTTTTTATAGGCAGGCCAGGTTTTAATGGCTTTGACCTTTTAAGGGAAATTTTACTGTTCAGTTATTAAATTCATGAGGTGCTGTAACTCAGTTTCTTTTTTAATATAGTAGACTAGGTATGTCTTTATGCTGCCATTTATGGGCAGTTTTCTCCTTTTTTATTAGTTAGGTAATTTTCATCAACGCGGATGCTTTCTGGCTTGCTCTTGAATTCAAAGCCATTAGCAGCTCAGAGACTCTGTCTTAAAAAGGGACACAATCAACTTTTAGAGTTTTGATTACTTTACCTTCTGCTTCCAAAACACACAGGAATTTGAAAAATAAGACAACCCATTATAGCTCCTTTTGGAGTCCTAATAGGATTTTAATTAAGTAACATGTTTTGTTTGCATTTTTACCCCTTCTACAATATCTACTGCACATGTTCTGGGGAAAATGCACATCTCTTTCATAGTTTACCTTTTATAACATTATATTAACTATATTACTTTTTACATAAGGTTTAACTGTGTCTTTTGTGCTTACAGAGTTTTTATGTATCCCTTAATAACATGACAGTCTAATTACACACACACACACACACACACACACGTTGCTTTAGAGGGGCACCATCTTTTTTTATTTTTCTGCTACAGCTTTTATCTGCTATTTTGTTACCAAAAATAAATTTAGAACTTTTATTTTTCTGGGTTTGATTGCCCTGCTGCAGCAATGACTTTGGTTTTTATAAAAAATATTGAACATTATGAAGTATTGAGGTACCTTAAGGATTAAATGCGAAATACCAAAGCCAAACAACACTAGTGATCTGTATCGGGCAAGAGTGTTTAGTTTTGCAACTTTAAATGAAAGATTTAAATGGATTTAGTGGCATTATTTTAAAACAAAAACCCAATTTATTTTAAACTTACAAAACAGAGGTTTCCAAACCAGGAGTGTTGATTTAGGTTTAAGACCTTATATATTTACTTAATATATAAATTTTACAAAGCTGTTCATAGATTACATTTGGGGGTAGTTAAGTTTCAATAGAAACTTACTTTTTTTTTTTAAGCGAATTTGTCCAAAGTCTATTTCAATCAGATGGTCTCTTTTCCAAAGAAATGTCTGTAAATAATCCAGGCAAAGGGCCCATTTTCCTTCAGAATGGCTGCAAAGAAGCCCAAGAACACTTTTTCGTAACATTTTTTACAACGTTTAACTGCTTAATTCCCTTCAGCCACTGCAGAGTTTAAAAAAAAAAAAAAAAAAAGTTTTAAAATCACTTGCTTATCTTCCAAAATGACATCTTCATTAAGTCAGATTTCACCAATCCAAGTATTGTTCCAGGGGTCTGAATTCCACATTCCTGTACTTTGGGATTTTTTGTGTGTGTGGTTATGTTGAGTATATCCAATGTAACTATTACTGCTTTGTCACTCCACCATTTAACGAATTCTCTCTGGTTCGGCTGCAACAGAGTTTGCTTTTTTAACTGCTGCTTGCGGAGTTTTGACATGTTTATACTCCAAATATTCCCGATGGCTGACTCTCTTCTCCCCCTTTGATGCCAGGGGTTTTAATCACCCTGGCTGCTGACCTTGTTGGGAAATGTATGTCTTCCCCTTGACACCATGATCTCAATCTTCATGGCCGTCAGCCTTGATACGGATGTGCGTCTCCCCCACCACTTAACACCGTAGTCTCAATCTCCACGGCTGTTTAGCCTTGATGGGGATGGGAGTTTCCCCCTTTAAATTCTGTGGTCTCAATCTCCACACTGACAGCTTTGATGGGGGGGCTGTATGTCTTAAGTTACACAATTGGCGGCCTTATTGGAGACTTGTGCTATTTGAAGGTGTGTACGTCACAGGCCTGGAGGAGGGCGCTCCCCAGGGCTTGCAATGAGGAAAGGGGACCACCAATTTGCACTGCCTACCGCTTGCGTACCCAGCCAGTCCTGGGCTTAACTCACGGCCAATCGCTTGTTGGTGGTTTGTCCAAGTCCTCCGTAACTCACCCCTTGAACAGTACATAACCCTCTTGCACATGTCTCCCCTCCCAATTGGTACCCCCTTTTAAAAAAAAACCCTCCGCTTGTACTAACATGTCCAGGTTCCTTTGCACTTAAATTTAAAAAGTGGGAACAAGATGTGTCAGAAAGGGGATGAGAGACCTCTATCCCTAGCCTAATGAGGTGGTAAATTAAACATACTCACCTCTTGGATCTCAGTCTCAGTTCCTCAATCAGTTCACAAGCTTGTATCCCGGACGAGCATCCATCTGAAGGAACAATAATCCACACCGTGTAGAGTCAAGCACAGGAGTTTATTACGCACAGCGCCATAGGCGCCAACTTTCTCTGGTGCCAGTGGGTGCCTGTGCACCCCCACCCCTTTCCTCACCCCTGTCCCCACCCCATTCCAACCCCATCCCTGCCCCCATTCCAACCCCATCCCCAAAGTCCCCACCCTAACTCCGCCCCCTCCCTGCCCCTATTGGATCCCTTCCCTGGCCCCACCTCTTCCCCCAGTGCACCACATTACCCCTCCTCCCTCCCTGCCCTGCAAATCAGTTGTTTCACAGCACAAGTGCTGGGAGGGAGGGAGAAGGTGAGCTGGAGCAGGGGGGCAGGGTGAGGCCATGGGGAGCTGCCTGTGGGTGCTCAGCACCCACCAATTATTTTCTGTGTGTGCTCCAGCCCGAGAGAAAAAAAAAAAAACCCAGGGGAATGATCTGAACTGTAGTTACAGGGCGGTCTCGCTGCTCTAGGTAGCGCTGCCTCCAGATCCCCATGGACGTGACCTGCACCCTTCTTACAGGACAGTCACTCTGACTCAGAAACCAAAGGAGAAGAGTCATGTGAAAGGAAAAAAGGAGACACCTCTGAACTCTAATTGCAGGCAGGTCTCACTGCTCTAGGTCCCCAAAGGGCTCACTAACCCCCCCCGTAAGCAAGTCATGTGACCTGCCACCTAATTGCGGGGCAGCCACTCAAGGCCAAGGGACTAAGAAGAGCTAGGAACGAGACCCAAACTCTTGAGACGGGGGGGCGGGAGGGAGGGGAAATCTCTAAACAAAGTGGCTCATGTACCAAAACGGGGGAAAAAAGATCCCTCAGACCTAAGGTTCTTGGCAGTCCATCATTGCCCCAGAAGGGACAGAGACATGACCTGAGCCGTAGATGCAGGGAGATCACACTGTCTAGAGGAACTTAAGCAAGCGGCCCAAACACCTTTTCAGCCTTAAGGTACGAGACCCAAACCATAAATCGTGCCACTAGATAGGTAAATAGAGGCCATAAAAAACAAACAAGAGGTTTTTTCTAGGTCTGGGAAGAGCTCATTCAACCAAACAAATCAAAAAACAAAAAAGCTGCAGCGATTCACAAATAAAAAAGAAAGACAGACAGACCTTCCACATCACATTTGCTCTCCAACACAGACATACCACATGACACAGCACTTCCCAAAGCAGAAAATGAGCTAACCGGGAAAGGGTATGGGCACAGGGTATTAAAAAGGCAACAAAAGGTCACCCTGCTCATGCCACGGATGAGAGGAATGAGACCAGAACCCTACTTACAGGCGGTCAGGCCGACTATCTGGCCATAATTCTATATTACCTAGGTTTCAAAGGGGAGAGATGTGAACCCTAGTTCTAGGGCTGTCACACCGACTAGCCAGCCACAAGTGTCTATGACCTAAAGTAAAAGGAGGGGAGTGACCTGAACCCTAGTTCCAGGTGGTCCATCCGAGTTGTCAGACAGCCGGGTGTAAGGGAACGGACCTGGACCCTAGTTTCAGGGAGGTCCATGCCGACTAGCCAGCTACCAGGGTTTAGTACCTAGAGCTCACAAGGGGAGAAACCCCAACCCTACTTACAGGGCGTCACTCTGTCTCAAGGTACTTAAGGGCTCAATATCCTTGTGGAATGAAAAATCAAGACCTGAACTCTTCTGAAGCGAGCGGTCTTTCTGACTGTCTTGCTGGAGCACCACGGTGCCAGAAAGCCGAAAGGGGAAAGACCGAAACCCAAAGTTACAGGCAGGTCACTGGTGTCCAGCCTAGTAAGCAAGCCCTAAACCCCACCAACGACAGGGCCGTGAGCCGGACCCTGATTACAGGGAGGTCACTGAGTAGCATGCCAACGGTTCTTAACCCCACCACAGCAAAAGGCGAGACCTGAACTCTACTTACAGGGAGGCTACATTGCCCATAGGGATTAAAGACCTCGACCTCCTCACTGAGTCACAGGGGTGTCACCTGCACCCTTCTTACAGGGTGGTCACTCTCTCCAGACGGTTAACGGAGCCAAGGGGGAAAGAGACCTGCACCCTACTTACAGGGAGGTCTCGCTGCTCGAGGTACTCTCTCTCTCCCTCCCACCCCCACAAAGAGGAGTGACCCCCCCCCTGCCCAGTTACAGGGCAGTCATTGTGCCCGCTGCATATTTTCTCCTCCTCTTCCATCTTCTGTTTCCTCCTTCCCATTTTCTTCCTCATGTGCTGGAATCAAAGAGAGAGAGAGTGTGCAAGACAGGATTAAGAGAATCCTTAGGTCTTCAAATATAGACAGTGCACATTAAAGTTGCTACCTTGTCGTCTTGCCTCTACAGGCAGCTTTCAACTTATAGCTGGAAGGGAATTCTGAGCAGTCCCCATCATGCGCTTTGACGGCACACTTGACACCCAGGCGTTCAAGTCTCCCAAAGTGCCAAAGGCTCAACGAATGCCTTTCTGTGGAGCCAGGTTTCCAGCTTCCTCACTATAAAATAAATCAGCAGCACATTATGCCTGGAGGGCAGTGAGAAATGCACTTAAATAGCAAGAGTCACAGACACAATGTGCACTGTATTGACTGGTTCAACAACAAAAAAAACCAAACAGGTAAAGGGATGAAGGTTTAAACGGAACCTTGAATTCCGCAGCAGTTGTTGCAGACTCTCTGGACTCCAACGGCCAAAAGCGAGGCAGAACCCAGGAGGCGTCGCTGCAGAACCTTGGGCGAGCTTGAAAGGCACTCCAGAGGGCCAGGACTGTGCCGGGAGCATCAGAGGGGCCGACGTGACTTGCACCCTAACCATGGAGGAGGTCCCTCTGCTGAGCCTAAAGGACCAGAACCCCACAACAGCAAAAAGAGTAGGACCGCAACCCTGATTACAGAGAGGTCCCAAAGGCCCAAGCGATTAAGACCTGAATTCCCCCCATAAGCGAGAGGGACGTGACCTGAGCCCCAATTACAGAATGGTCACTCTGGCTAGCCTGCAAGAGCAGCATAATGACAAGATGCTAAGAAGGGTTTTGGTCTCTACCCTAAGTTACAGGGAGCTCTTGGGGGACCAAGACGGCCCCCTAATCCCACATAAACGAGAAAGAAGTGACCTATGCCCTTCTTACAGGGAGGTCACACCGACCAGCCTGTCAAGCGTTCATAAACCCGAGAGAAAAAGAGGGGAACGATCTGTACCGTAGTTACAGGGTGGTCTCGCTGCTTTAGGTACCACCCTCTCCAGATCCCCACTGACGTGACCTGCATCCTTCTTACATGACAGTTACTCTGACTCAGAAACCAAAGGAGAAGAGTCACGTGAAAGCAAAAAGGACACCTCTGAACTCTAATTGCAGGCAGGTCTCGCCGCTCTAGGTCCCTAAAGGGTTCATTAACCCCCTGTAAGCGAGTGATGTGACCTGCCACCTAATTACAGGGCGCCCACTCAAGGACAAGGGACTAAAAAGAGCCGGGAGGGCCAGGGACGAGACCTGAACTCTGGAGACAGGGGCGGAAAAAAAATAGCTAAACAAGGTGGCTCACGTACCAAAGGGAAAAGAGGTCCCTCAGACCTAAGGTTCTTGGCAGTCCATCATTCCCCCAGAAGGAAGAGGGATGTGACCAGAGCCGTAGATGCAGGGAGATCACATGGTCTAGAGGAACTTAAGCAAGTGGCCCAAACACCTTTTCAGCCTTAAGGCACGAGACCCAAACCATCAATCGTGCCACTATATGAGTAAATGGGGTCCATAAAAAAACCAAACAAGTTCTTTTTCTAGTTCTGGGAAGTGCTCATTCAACCAAAACAAAAAACAAAAAAGCTGCAGCAATTTACAAATAAATAAATAAAGACCTTCCACACCCATGCACATCACGTTCGCTCTCCAACACAGACATACCACATGACACAGCACTTCCCAAAGCAGAAAAAGAGCTAACCGCGAAAGGTTATGGGCACATTGTATTAAAAAGGTCACCCTGCTTATGCTTATGAGACCTGAACCCTACTTACAGGCCATAATTCTATATTGCTTGGCTTTCAAAAGGAAATGGACCTGAACCCTGGTTACAGGGTGGTCCACGCTGACTATCTGGCCATAATTCTATATTACCTAGGTTTCAAAGGGGAGAGATGTGAACCCTAGTTATAAGGCTGTCACACCGACTAGCCAGCCATAAGTGTCTATGACCTAAAGTAAAAGGAGGTGAGCAACCTGAACCCTAGTTCCAGGGCGGTCATACCAGTTCGCCTGCCATAAATGTCTATCACCTGGATTAAAGAAGGGAAGAGACCTGAACCCTAGTTCCTAGGCGGTCCATGCCGACTAGCCAGCTACCAGGGTTTAGCACCTAGAGCTCACAAGGGGAGAGACCTCAACCCTACTTACAGGGCGTCACTTGGTCTCAAGGTACTTAAAGGCTCAATATCCTCATTGAATGAAAAATCAAGACCTGAACTCTTCTGAAGCGAGCAGTCTTTCTGACTGCCTTGCTGGAGCACCACGGTGCCAAGAAAGCCAAAAGGGGAAAGACCGAAACCCAAAGTTACAAGCAGGTCACTGGCATCCAGCCTAGTAAGCAAGCCCTAAATCCCAGCAACGACAGGGCCGTGAAACAGACCCTGATTACGGGGAGGTCACCGAGTAGCATGCCAACGGTTCTTAAACCCACCACGGCAAAAGGCAAGACCTGAACTCTACTTACAGGGAGGCTACATTGCCCATAGGGATTAAAGAGCTCAACCTCCTCACTGAGTCACAGGGGTGTCACCTGCACCCTTCTTACAGGGTGGTCACTCTCTCCATCCTCCCCCCCCCCCTCCGTTAACCGGAGCCAAGGGGGAAAGAGACCTGCACCCTACTTACAGGGGGTCTCGCTGCTGGAAGGACTGCCGGGGTCAGGCTCGCTCTCTCTCCCCCCACCCCGCGGAGTCACTTCCCCCCTAGGGACAGGGAGGCCGTTCGTGGTGCTGCATGGGAAGGGCTCGAGCCTCATCCCGGACCCTGGAGATCGGGAGTCTCTGTCCTGCTGCTCCGGGTGTTTCTGAAGGTTCAGAAGCAGCAAGTCCCGCTGGGGCGGAGCAGGTGCCTCGGCGCTGCCGCCCTGCGTGCGGGTGCGGATTCCGAGGGCGGGGCGGGCTCGTGCCCCGAGCTCCGGAAAGCTCGGTCGGGGAGGTGCTGTCCCTGCTCGCTGCGGCGAGGCCAATTTCTGCCGGCCCTGCGGACCGCCCACAACCGCGCCCAGATTTCCAGCCAATCACAGAGCCTCTGTCCCGCCCTGTCAGGTTTTCTCCTCCCCGCCCCTCGTCCTCTCACGATAGCTCGCCCGCTTCCCGCCAGCTCCGCGGAGCTGCTCTTCTTCCCCCGCATATCGCCCTAGCTTCCCCTTTCTCAACTGCCCCCACCCAGCGGTGACGGAAGCGGGGATCAGCCCCCCCCCATTTTTAAAAGGGGGAGAGTCATGCCCCTCACTGTCTAATATGGGTATAGTTTGGGGGAGCAGGGAGCAGCAGTGACCCCTCCACCTGCACGCCTTTGCAGCGGGTATCAGCTGCCTGAGGTTTGCAGTTTGAGGGGAGTAAGCTACACCCATATTAAAAAGTGGGGGGCATGGCCCGCTGCCCCTCCCCCATCTACAAAGGCTACAGCCCCCTTGCCCCCACCCCCACTGGAGGCAGCATCAAGAGTGCTGTAGGGTCCGGGTGCCTGGCCAACGGCCTCCTGCTTCTCAGGGGTACGGGGAGCCCCCGCTGAGGCACTTTCAGCTGCACCCCTACTGTAGCCTCCACCTCCTCCCACGCAGCTGAGCCCATGGTGAAACGTGGGGCTGGCTTGGCACAGGCAGCCCGTGAGAGGGTGAGGCAACAGCACCACAAGAGAGCCCTAGCTTTGTGCAGACAGTGCCCTCACCCTCCCCTCCCACGGTATAAGGGAGAGACAGGCCCACCTCTGCTGTCTCCTCTCCCCCCACAATGCTAGGTCATGCCACAACCCATATTCTAAAATTTGCCATATTGCATATGTAATAGACGGTACATGCACAGCGCTGATTTTAAGGTGTAATTGTAGGTGGTGCAGACGTACCCAACCCAGCTTTTATTTACGCAGCACAGGTAACAATTGTAGAGAAGATTTAGCATCAGGGGTTCCAGTGCAGGTTAGCAACCTCAGTACCTAGCCAGGGTCCTCAGTGCGCTTGTACTGGGGCAGCCAGTACGTACCCCCAGGTCTACACTCCATTGTTGCCTGCGCTCGCTGGATTAAAGCTAGTGCAGGTATATCTACCCCTGCCACAATTGCACTTTAATTTGTGGTGCAAATGTACCCTTAGCCAGGGTTCATGGGTATGTCATCCTATATATATTGTGTGAGCCAGCTCTTCATCGGCATTTAGAAAACTTTGAGGTTTCCTTTTTAATGTTTGTTTTACTCCTGGTTTTAATGTCGCTAAAGGCAGTGTATTAGATTTCTTTTTGCATGATCTAATGTATAAAGAGAGCAGCTGTGGTTTCTTCATTTTGCTGGCCATTGAAGGTACGTCTGTACTAGAGCTGGAACGTGTAAATTCCAGCTCGAGACATACCTGCGCTAGCTCTGATTAAGACAGAATGCTGAAAATAGAAGTGCAGCCATGGTGGTGTGAGGGGCTGGTTGCCCTGAATATGTACTTTTGGGCTCTGACTGGATCATACTTGGAGTGGCTAGTCCTGCTATGGCTACATTTCTCTTTTTAGTGCACTAGCTTGATCAGAGCTAGTCGGGTATGTCTCCTCTATCTGGAAGTTACACCTTCCAACTCTAGTGTAGACAGACCCTGAGTAAGGCCTTATTTACACTAGGACAGTGGTTCCCAAACTTGTTCCACCGCTTGGCCTGGAGCAGTGAACCGCGGCCACTGGGAGCTGTGATCGGCCGAACCTGCAGACGCAGCAGGTACACAAACTGGCCCAGCCTGCCGGGGGCTTTCCCTGCACAAGTGGCAGAACAAGTTTGGGAACCACTGCACTAGAAGGGTTTTGCCCGTGTACTGATACTAGTATAGCTGAAGGGTTAAAATCCATGTGCATTTTATATAACAATCTGGTATATGGATTGTGTCAGCTCTTTTTCAGACCCAAAGTCCAGAGTTTGGTCAAGAGACCAGAGGCCTAGCTAATAGTGATCAGCTAAGAGAAAGCTGGAGTAAACAAGATAACATTGCCTTTGCTAAGATATGCTTGGTCAGTAGAAATGCCAGATGTTGAAGCAATAACTAAATAATTGTGTCTTATTCAAAGTTTCAAATTGAACAAAGGATCCCTGTTCCTATTGTGTCAGTCTCTTCTGTAGGGAACATTCTTCCCACATATCCAACCTTGAGTTTATGGAAATTGGCACATGTCAGTATAAAGATATGGCATCCTTCCACCTCCCTTTCACAGGGACCAATGCCCGGCCTTAAGACATAAAGAAGACAATCTGTATTATCATATCCTTTCACTGTTTCTTTGCTTTAACCCCTAGGAATGTACCTGTTGGACAATCAAAGGAGTTGCTCCATTCCTATGGACCCCAAATCAGAATTCAACATATATATTTTATACTAATAACATTTTATCAAAGTATTAATTAAATGTTAACTTGCTAACTTGAGACCATGGGCGGAGACATTATGTAACCTTTTAACCATTGGCTAATGTGCTATCTTGTCTTGCTGCAAAACCTATCCCGGGGTGTGGAACTGCCTACCCCGTCACTTTCCCCCGCCCATGGAAAATCTATATATTCTATTGTAATCAATTGATTGACAGTGTCTCTGAGCCTAATAAGCAAGGTGACACTCCGCCAGCGCTGTGTGTAATAAACTCTTATGCTTGATCTCTACACGGTGTGGATTTATGTCCTTCAATAGCTATACTGGCAAAACCCTCTACTGTGGATGCCATTGTGCTTATATTAGTAGAACTTATGCTAGTTTGAGAACATGCTCTGTGCAATTGCCCAGTCTTCAGCTACATGGTTCTCAAATTATTGTATTCTGCAGATCACCAGAAAAGGCTCCTTTCACCTAATTTAGAGAAATATTTAAATTTAGTAAAAATAATCCAAGTTGAAATGGTAACATGAACTTCTGGATTTACCCAGCTCAAATAAGATATGTAGCTGTTTCCAGATTTTTTTTAAAAATATTCCTTTATTTTGTAATTAATTAACATCCAATTCAGAATTACATAAGGAGAAGACTCCTCCAAAATAAAATTAAAAGGTTACAAACATTTCCTAGGCAAATTGAGAATCCATTAAGAGTTCACAGTTGAGGTGCAGGAAGAGAAAATATTCCCCAATTTTCATTGCAATAGCCCACAGAAAAAATATAATGAAGTCAGGTCAAAAAACTATTAAAGTCTAGAGCAATTTTTATGAGAAATCAAATTACTATCTTTTAACTAAATTATTTAAACTACAGGAATTCCTAAGGGCTTATAAATGCCTTCTAGGCACTAGCCTGTGTTAGGCAGAATGGAGTTCTCACGGGGAACTCCTACTGCTACATTGCCTAAGGAGGATGCAGCATACTCTCCTCAAATGCTCGCCAGCTCTGCTGGCCAGTGCTTGTGGTGTCTTCCGAATCCTCACCTTGTGGGGTTTGCTCCTTCAGTGGTTTATGAGAGAACAGTTAATTGAACACCCCTTTGAGATGATTGTGGGAGTTCAAACCTCTAACACCAAGCTATTGTTTCAGGCTGTCTGGAGACAGACTCAGACAGCACTATGTTGATTATATCTGTCAGGCTGTCTTTGGAACTGTTAAGGACTAGAAACATCCGACCCTCAAATGAAAGCTTGAATTCTGCAGAAAGTGAAGTAACTCTCACCCCCAAAAGCTTCTAACTCATCTTAGCAAATGGGAAAGTGCAATTTTCAAGCCCTATGACTGGCATGAATTTACACTAGATATAAATCATTAAATATGTTTAGTGGTTATGTACAGGAAAATGTACATATACAACAAATTTAAGTTCAGTCTTTGCTTTACAGTACTATTACTTTTTTTTTCTTAAAAAAAACCACTCAATCTTTATGGGGGGATGGAAATAGTTAACCTGAATAATTAAAAAAACAACTCCAAATTAAAAGCTGGTTATATATTGCACTGTCCATTCGGAGGTTCCATGCTGGAAGTACTTTGCCATCTGCTTTAAACTGACTGCTTATATAATTTCCAGCCTTCTGGTGTTATTGGCTATACACTGGCAGACAGAATAAGGGAAAAAACACATTGCTGTTAACAGAATCAACAAGAATAAATAAAACATAGCAACGTAAGCAAATTATTTAGCTGGGAATTCAGCCGTAATAAGTATGTCTGTTATCTGTCAGAAGGTAGACTCAAGCCCACTTCCATCATAAGGTAGCTTTCACTACTACCAGTCTTGCCTCAGACAGCAAACTATATTTGATGTTATAATTGGGCTTGAGTTTACCCTCCGACAAACAACAGACATATTTATTATGGCTGAATTCAAAAAATACATGGTGGTGAACTTGGAACAGGATACAGTCCAGGACTAAAAATACAGCAAAAGATGACCAATATTGATGATCAGATTAAATTTGAAATAGTTTAGTAAATATCTTCATACAGTCAAAAAACAGGCTAGATTATTAGTTTAATGATAGGTGTGGAGAAGGTAACTCCCAGACTGATAGTGTTCGAGAGTATTGTGAACACAGCTTGCTCCACTCTTGAAGGGGAAAGTGTACCTTATCACTCAGCTGTTCAGCGGCATGCAAAAGGGAGGAGTGGGGACGGGGCATACTCAGGGGTGTGACAAACTGGGACTGTTCTTAATGTGGTCTTTGAATGCTGAGAGGGGAGTGTTGGCTGGGAAGGCAGGGGAGTGTGGCTAGGATAGGATGACCAGATAGCAAATGTGAAAAATCGGGATGGGGGTGGCGGGTAATAGGAGCCTATATAAAAAAAAAGACCCAAAAATCGGGACTGTCCCTATAAAATCGGGACATCTGGTCACCCTAGGCTAGGATGGTCTGCATGGGGGGATGGGAGACTGGCTTTGAGGGAGAATACCTGAGCATGTAACGTGAGAACCCAGTAAGGGGTTAGAGGCCAGGTGACCCTTTTGCCCCGGAAACTGAACAAGGGCTGGGGGAGGAGACGCTAGGGGGGGGGGAGTTTCAGGGGCTGGCTGGTGGAATGGCTGGGAGACAGACGGGGCTCTGACCCCCCAAGGGGGCTGTGGTGCCCTGGGATCCCAAGATGGACCTAACTGAGGGGGTCCTGTTGTCTGTG